GAAACAACAGATTTGGAACAGAGGACTAAAAGTCAGAGATTGCTAACTGCATATCTTGTTTTCCTCCAAGGGCTTCAACTTTTTCTTCTCTTGCCTGCTCCTTCGGATACCCAACATTCCTATCAAGTATACCTTCCACTATCGTTTTAAAGGGCTAATTCCCAACTTTTCCATGAAAAAGTCCCTTGCCAATCTAACATAGTGACTTTCCTCCTGCCAAACCACCGAACAAATCATACATTGAACAAAATCTTGTTTCTCTCTCAAAGTACTATCATATCACTGTTGTGCACATCTAACGAGATATTTATTGAAAGGAGAATGTACATCAGACCTAGATGTTGCCCTTAAGGAGCTTGTAGTCCAGTGGAGAAGACAGCTATATTACAAGCTGAAAGTAGTAAGGAAAATAAAGAATGCAACGATAAACTACTGTCCTTTACAGTGTCACTTTGGAGTGAGCAAAATCAGGGTAAACTTTGGGAAGAAGGTAAGGTGTGTGGAGAGCTGTGACGGATGAATGGCTTATGTGGCTCTAGAATTGGCAGAAAGGTCATTCCAGACATAGGAAACAACACGGACTCCAAATCTGAAGGAAGGAAAGTATGGATCATGTGTGAAAAGCATCAAATAGTTTCCTTTGATTACAGGGAAGTGATCAAGGAATATTTTATAAAATGGGGTTAAATAGGAAACTGGGGGGGGGGCACATAATGGAGACCAAAGAGTTTACAAATTTGCATCGGGACACACGGGAGGTTTCTGAGAAATTATATGCTTTCAGGAAACTGACCTGGGAACAGCATGTATGCTGAAATGGAGACGGTGGAGTTAGAGAATCCAGTTAGGAAGCAGTTGTATAGTTTAGAACAGAAGTAATGAGGTTGTGGCAGTGAATGGAGAGTTGACAGATTGTAAAAGTACAACTGGAACTCAGAAACTGGTGAGAATTTGAACGAACCTGGAGGGCGGGAGAGGAGACACTGATAACTCCAAAGTGTTCAATTTGGAGGACTTGGAAAGCATTAACACATCGCAGTAGGGAATACAGGAGGAAGGAAAGAGAAATGAAGAAAAGAACAATGAATTTTGTTGAGAACATGTTGAGTTAGAAGTGGAGGTGGTGTATCATTGACATGTCCAGCATGCAATTGGTTTATGATGTTCCCGAGCTCTGTGTAGATCAGGGGCAGAGTCACTAATGTAGAGATCATTGCTAAAAGCATAAAACTTGTTAAGGTAGAGAGCACTGTGAGAGAAAGGAGAGAGATAAGACAACTCAACTTTGGACACATTTACTGAAAAAAGACCCAGGGAACAAACAAACAAACAAAAATGCTCTAAGAGCAAGGAAGAAAGCCAGAAGAATACGCTATTATAGAAACTAACAGGGCGCCTGGGTGGCGCAGTCGGTTGAGCGTCCAACCTCAGCCAGGTCACGATCTCGCGGTCCGTGAGTTCGAGCCCCGTGTCGGGCTCTGGGCTGATGGCTCGGAGCCTGGAGCCTGCTTCCAATTCTGTGTCTCCCTCTCTCTCTGCCCCTCCCCTGTTCATGCTCTGCCTCTCTCTGTCCCAAAAATAAAATAAAAAACGTTGAAAAAAAATTAAAAAAAAAAAAAAGAAACTAACAATGGAAAAGTTTTGTTTGTTTGCTTGTTTGTTGTGGACAAGTTTTAATAATAATAATAAAAAAAGACTTAGCTAACAATGTTGAATGCTGTAATGAGTTCTAGGAGAATTACAGAAAGTGGTCTTTGGATCTGGTGTGGCAAATTACTGATTTTTAAGAAAGCCGTTTTTGAGGAAGCCAAGCATTTTAAAGGGTTAATGAGTAAGTTAGGGAGTGGGACAGAGAAAAGAGCCCTTGACTGGGAACCAGAGACCCTGAGTTCCAGCTTGGCCTTGCTGTTAAGCTGCTGTATGACCTCTTAACCTCTCTTGAGCTGTTTCTCAGTCTTCAAAATTCTATAAAATCTCTCCTGACTATCATTTCCAAAGATTCAAGTAAGCTAACTATGGACCTAAACTCTACGGAGATACTGAGCTACCGATTTTTATCGGGTATATGCCAATTTCAATACTTGTAACTTGTGTAAAAGTGAGGCTCTAAGTGTTTCCTAATACAAAATAATTCAGACCATATTCTTCAAGTATCTGCTTCAAGGAAACCTTCCTCCAGCCTCCTCCCATCCCCAGTCCTTTACTTTTAAAAACTAAGCTAAGATAGTGTCTCTAGTTTATCCAGCAACTTGTCCTATTGCCTAAAATCAGGGGGTGCCCCCAGAAGCCTTTCTTGTTTGTTGAAGTCTATTGGGTAGTATTAACAATCAATCCCCAAATCATGGCTTTCCAGCCATGTGTGATCATATACTTGTACAAGGGCATTTTCTGAAACTCAATGTCTCATATCACAAAATCAAACCAGAAATGTTATTCAAGAAGAACCCAGATGCACTGAAGAAAGAACATTTGCTTTATCTGGGGGCTTTTAATCTATCAGGATCCTATAGCAATACAAACTCAGAATCACTGAAATGTTAAGTACTATAAAACTTTTAGTTGGGTTCAAGCACATAGTTTCGTAATATATTTGAAGTTAGTGTAGGTGTGAAGTAGTTCGATTGAATCTTGCGATTAAAGTTAAAAAACAATGCTTCGTTTTAACACACACACACACACACACACACACACACACACACACACACGAGGATAGGATAACTTTCTCTTGTTGAGACACCAGTAAATTTTCCTGGAGTTCTCATCCCTTGCCTTTCTTTCCTCCAGAGAGGTTGGCCTGTTCTTTCTCAAGAATTCTTGTTTTAATTCCAAATGGATATTGTAGAAAATAAAGGGGTAAAAATTTAAGTTGTTTTTGAAAGAACATATAACTCAGCTCCAAATTCGGTGGAGAAAAGGAGAAAAAAAAAGGACAGTTAGCATCTTTTGTGCACCTGTTATATGCCCTACATGTTCATGTACATTATCTTACTCAAGCCTGACAATAAGACTTTGCAGTAAATTTAGCTTTGGTGTTAGAGATAAGAAAAATGAGGCTCAGGGAGGTTAAACTATCCTTTCAAGGTCAAATGGCAAGTTATAAAACTAGGATCGAAACAAGAGCTGAAACAAGACTCCAAAGCTCAAGCATGTTCTACTTTACCATGCAGTTCAGTCTAGTGAAAAATTCACTCTTGAAAAGGTCTTAGCATTTGAAGCATAAAAGCCTTCAAATTCTGTTGTATCTGCACTGAGTCCGATCGAAAAAAAATTAAACAAAACAAAAACATCCCAAAACATCACACACGCTCTTAGTTCCCCTCCCAACTGAAATTCAGTAGGGAGGACAGTTCCTGAGTCATGTTCACAGAAAGCTGTCCTTGGATTCTGTTATTGAGCTCACACCCCCATTCCTGACTTCCCAAGTGGCACCGAGAAAGAGAAGAGGAAATGTAAGAAAAGTATAAGATGGGATCCTCTGACACCGTGGTGGAAATTAGCACATTTCCCAGAAGACCAAGATAAAAATGCATGTGAGAAGAACAAGGGAAGCAAACAGATGGGGCAATAAAATGGAGGCGGAATGAGCTCATCAGGATTTCCAGCACACGGTTTAAGTCCATACTGGGCTCTCAGCTGACCTGGGAGCCAGGAGACATAGTGAATGAGTGGGTGGTTACTATGCTGCAGCATCAGTTACACGAAGAGATTAGGTGGAGCTGATTCACTGCGGCAGGATCGGCACGACTTTTCAAGTGGAGGAAAATCTGTGGGCCCTGGTCTCAGCCACTCGCATAACCATCCTTATGGACAGCATGAGTCACATGTGTGGGATCCTGCAGGTAGACAGTATTGTGCCGTGAGTAAACCAAGGGCAAGCTTTCACGTTGCCGAGAGCAGGTCTCAACCACAGCTACGGCACATCTTTGTGTGAAGGTTTATCCGCCGGATACGCAAACACCCCGCCTTCCCATACTCCTCCTGGGCTACAGGTGGTTCGTAACACAAACAGAAAGGACAAGGCTCCGGAACGTTCGTCACACCGAACAGTGATTCTTTTCCAAACTATCAGACCCCAGAAGGGTCTTTGGAAGAGTCTAGTCTAAGCCCCTTACCTGATACACAGCAAACTGAGGTCCAGGGAAGAGGAATGACTTGCCCCAAACCACTCAGCTAGTGACAGAGTGGGCATGAGGACTCAGTTCCCCTGTTCCTAAGCCAGCAGACTCTGCTGCACCAGCAAGCCAAAGTCAAACCCTAAATAGCATATACCCTGTGAACTAAGCCCTCTAATTATACTGCCTCCAAAGGAAATAACATCTTAAATGCCTGGGTCTCTCTCTCCGGGCTTTGGCAATTTCACTGACAATTTCCCGTACTGGAATCTCTTTTGAGAACTTTAAGAGTAATTATTTTCGGATATATGCTTTGTTATTTTTATGACTTCTTACACACTGCTTTCTTTGTTCATGAGAAAATTAGGATTCTGGAAATACACTTGACTTTATTTAATTATTAAAGGACCAAGCATCCATTTCAAGTACTTGCGAACGTAAATGTCATCGGTGTGCGTCAAGAATGGATGTACGGGAACAATATAGGCTAATTACTCTATTTTGACATCCAATTAAGATCCACTTTGGTCTCAGGAAAAATCATCAAACCTATGGAGTGAAAACTGAAGAGCGAAATCCTTACCTGGATCATTCTGAACATGTCTGGATTTGGTGCCTTTATGGCATCATCTAAAACGTAACATTTTTTAACATGTTTTGCAACCTGACTGCCTTCATTACTGCAGCCTGTGTATATGTGGGCTCGCTGGAACTTTGGGGGTTTTCAAGGAGGTTAAGTAAGGATGTAGAAGGAATGAGCCCGTTCAAGGTCATGCTTACTAGGTGAAGCTGATGCCTCCTAGTGACCCCTACCAGCAGCAGCATAAGCCCATTACCCAGTCTCCCTCCTCCCCACCTCATACCTTTTTTACAAACTTATATTCTTACCTGAGCCATCATCACTTCCATTGTCCTCTGCTTTGGGTGTTGTGGAGAACAGATTTGCTGGCTCTAATGTTTATCCATGAAGAGATTTCCACGAATAGAACTTTCCTCGTAATTTAGTAACATTGTCCTTGAAAACCCCACGACTATTTACATAACAGAAGCTATTGTTTGAAGTGCAAAGCAGGTCAAAATTTGGTTTCTGGAGATTAATCACTGCGGTCTGTTTTATATTATCATAATAATTTCATTTATTTTGATACAATTTGTTTTCAGCATCAACCTCAGCTTCTGTGCACAAGTGACAAATCCATTTGTTTCTGGTATAATGGATAATGTGATTAATGACCTTGCAACAGGATTTCTTAAAAACACGGAGGAAAAAAAAAGTTTCCATTTATAATGTGCAGTAAACCAGCTCAGTCTGTAGCTGTGCCTCAAAAATCCCTCTGAACTTGTTTGCACGCCACAGCCAAGATTTTCAAACAAATTTGCTCCTGCCTTTTGGGGTTTCTGTCCAAAGCTGTTCTCTCCAAGAATGAGCGGACAGCGGCGTCAAATTGGGAAAGTGGATCTACGGGCAGCCCGCTCGCAAGGGTGGGGCCCCGGTATACTACGCGGTGCCATCTCCGTGGCCGCGCTCGACGAAGCCAAGGAGCCCAGGCCTCGCTGAGTAAGGTCACACCACCTGCTGGGCTGTCGCCAGGCCCGCACGCGACGTCTCTGCGGGCGGCCTCGTGACTCCGGCCCCCGCGCCGAGCCCCCCGGTGGGGGCCGCGCGCGCGCGCGAGGGTGTGCGGGCGCCCCCTCCGCGCAGTCGGCATCCGGCGCGCGTTTCCGGTGCCCGCGGACCTGAGAAGTCTTCCGCAGGCGGCGGGTGGGAGTGGGGACCGGGAGGGTGGACGTGCACGGGGGCGACCGTCGTGCGTCTCCTTCCCGCCTTCGGGTGACGCGGGCGCGGCGGCCCGCACCGGGAAGCCCACGAGGCCCGCGGGGGAGGAGGGGTCTCTCGACGGCAGCCTTAGGTTCGAGTTCCTCCTGGGGCTCCTCCTCACTGTCCTCACTTGGGGGGCGGGGGGTCCCTCCCCACAGGGGCGGCGGTGGCCGCTGAGCGAGGCCTCGCGCCGCGCCGGAAGCCCAGAAGGCGCCCCGGGGAAGCTCCCGGCTTCTCTTCAGCCCGCGACGCCTGCGTCCTCGGGTGGGTCCTCGGGGCGCCTGGACACGCCGGCCAAGGCTCGCGAAGGCACTCGAGAGTGTTTTTCCCCCCTTTTCCCTCAGTTCTTCCTTGCTGGGGGCCCCGGGACCCCGCGCTCGCGCCCCCGGCTCGGCCCCACAGGCCCGCCCGCCAGGCGCGAGAAGGCGCCCCCGCCCCGCCCCCTCGCTGACGTGCGCCCAGCCGGGCCAATCAGAGCTCGCGGCGCTGCGCCCCACGCGCCGGGGCCTTCTCCCACCCCCCTCCCCCCCCCCCCCCCCCCAGCTTAAGAAAGGGCGCGCGGGCCGGGTAAGAGCAGAACGCTGCGCCGGGCGGAGCGAGCGCGGTGTGTTAGGCGGACGGTTCCACCGGCTCCCGCGCTCTAGCTGCCCTCGAGCGCCGTGCCCGGCCGCAGCCCGCCGCGGAGGCGCCTCCGCCGCGCGCCCCGA